ATCAAAGACAAAGAAAATAAACAATAGAAAAGTTTTTTTTTTTCACCAGGGTTACCTCTACAGTAGAAAGTAGAGATAATTGTGTAAAAATGTAATGAGTAAAAGTTAAAAGTACGCTGACCAAGATTTCTACTTAAGTACAGTAACAAAGTATTTGTACTTAGTTACTTTACAACACTGAGAAGAACGATTTTAAAATCTTATCTCTGACATGAAGAACTGTTGAAATGAGAAAATTCACATGAATCAGAACCAATCTCTTCTGTCGCTGACGGTTCAAGACTTATTTCAGATGTTCTTATAGTTCCACACAGCTCATCTGAAGACCACAGACTTGGTGTTTCATGACCCACAGGGGTCCTCCATCCTTCTATTGGGAAGCAGATCCTCAGATGATTCTGGTTGTGATGTTTTAAAGTTCTGCTGCCATCTTTGACCACTTCCTGTTAGAGTTAAAAGTTTCATCGTCCTGCTCCTCGGTTCTGCTCTGTCCGTCCTCAGGTTCAGTTCTGCAGCAGAAGATAAGGAGGGCCGGGCTGCTGGGACGAGGATGCATTTTTCAAATTAGTCTGAGCCGAGAGGAGCGCTTCTGCTGGCTAATCTCATCAGACGGAGCAGTGGCTGCTGCTCGCCTATCGCAACCATCTAATTGCTGGAAAAGAAGCGTCCTCTCGTTGGTTTCATGACCTCATGTTTTCTTACGACGGCTGCCACGCCTGGACACGTCCAGACTTTGACCTGTTCCAACGACTGCTGAGGACGCTCCAACGTTAGAGACCTGACACTCAGGTGTGTTGGTGAATAAAAGTCAAGGTTTAAACGAAGGAAACAAACTTACTGCAGCTGCAGTGATTGTTTAGATCATGTTCTGTCTGGAGAGGCTCTGTTATCAGTGTGTGTGTGTGTGTGTGTGTGTGTGTGTGTGTGTGTGTGTGTGTTTCCAGTAAAGGGTGTGTCACAAACAGATGCAGAAGCTAATAAATGATGAGTTTGATTGAATAACATTCAAACAAACATTCATCTCAGTGATAAAATAATGTTCCTGCAGCAGCAGGATGTTGTGTGATGAAGGTGTTTATCAACAAACTGTTTATCAACAAACTGTGTTTATCAACAAACTGTTTATCAACAAACTGCGTTTATCAACAAACTGTGTTTATCAACAAACTGCGTTTATCAACAAACTGTGTTTATCAACAAACTGTGTTTATCAACAAACTGTGTTTATCAACAAACTGTGTTTATCAACAAACTGTCAGTTTCTCAGAACAACAAAAACATTGAACTGAAGCAGGTGGATGAAACGATGATGTCACACATGATACATGAGCTAAAAACAGAAAATTAAACACAAACTATCAGAATCATAAAGAAGCTGCTCTGTGAGAACCAGAGTCAGTCAGCAGTAACTGAGAACACACCTGAGAACACACCTGAGGAGGACCTGGACCTCACACACACATGTTGGTCTTTCTGTGCTCATGGGGACACTG